AGGAAATTTAATGAAGGCCACCTGATTAGCACATGATTATGCTGGGGTCGGAAGCAAGATGGTCTGGTTTGGGGACCTAAACCCCAATTGTTATACTTTCCTGAAACTCAACTGCTTCTGTTGGCAAAAACACTTCTCCATTGTAGCCTGAGTGGTGGAAGGCTCCAGGGGTTAAGAGAAATAATATCCAACATTTTTTTAATGTTTTAACATTTTTCACATATGATCCCATTTAATTTCTTTAGCTAAATCATGTTTACTCTATACACCAGGTAGTCAAATATCATGCCTGTCTTCTGATCTCAGTGGGAAAACGAAGTAAATACATCAGGTGATGTAGTCTTGGCTGAATCACAAAATATTTATGCCAGCAAGAAATTTAGGTATTCTGAGTAAAACAGGCACTTTATTTGGAATGATTCTGGGGATGCAAGGATGAAATATGTAGGGGACACATATGGCATGCCAAGGTGAATTTGCCATGAAGTGAGTGGAATTTAACCTTCAAGTTTTCTCCCTCATCTAGACCAATCTCCTGGCAGTGTGGTTAGTGTCATCAAGTTAAAAAATACTTAAGACATTTTGCAATGCTCTAAATATCATAGCTCACACAGAAAAGAAGCTTGATAGAGGTTTCCCCAAACTTAGAAGCAATCCAAAACATTTATATGACATTACTTAAGAGTTGTGAAGCTTTTGAAAGAAAGAAACTTTTCCAAGTTATTTAAAAATAAATTACAAGTCTTCATCAACAGCTCTATAGGAAAGATGGAGTTATTTTTCTATTACCTCTATAGGGAACATTGCAAAATTTCATTGGAAGAGGTCATCAGAGTATGCAACCAAAACAACAGCAAAAATATTTCAGGAATATATCAGGCAGTTTATCAATAAAAATTTGTGTGTTCTCCTAAATTTCATATTTGTAGTATTTGCAGCTTGTGAATTTGTAATTTCATCATGCCACTTCAAATTCTAAATATTCACTTTCATACCTAAATTTCTATTTTTGATTTTTGTGCTTTTTTTTTGAGAAATTTTCTGAAGTTTATAAGCTTCAGCCTCCATAAAACCCAGCTTTATGCCTAATGGTAGGATTTACTTGTTAACTTAGAAAATAAATAAAAAATTTTCTTTTCACACACACCCCCCCTTTCACACACACACCCCCCCACTCCCACACAAAGACTGAAGTCTGCATTGTTACCTGATCAATTTTTTTTTTCCTAGGTTTAACTACCGTTCATCATTTTCCTAATTTAGAGGCCTCATGCCAAGGAGGAAAGAAGTTGCAAATATGTAATTATCACAAAACTTTGATCTTGCATGAGAGGCAACCCCGATCTGACCCTTAGTTTGAGATAAAGACTCCGCCTAGGAGAGAGCTGGTGAAGACTTAAACCATGCAATGCTGGTGGTCAGAGCATCGGGGATGACCTGGCTGAGTCGTTTGGTCCCTCTGGACCTGGTTTTTCATCCGTGTTCAGTAACAAGCAGTGGAGTCAATGCAATTTTCAGCTTGATCTGTTCTTACATGTTGTATTCTGTAGGTTCATAGAGGAAATCCTTGAAATTGACTTAGAAAACATAATCCCTGACTAATCAAAAGAGAAAACTCAGAAGTCATAACAGGTCAGAACTGTCAAATACCACAAACAACACACTTGGAGTATGTTGGAGAGGACTACCATTAAAAAAAGAAAAAGAAACCATAGTGATTTTGCAAATTTCCCAGTACAGGTGCCTGGGCATATATCCTGATGAATTAGCGTGCTTACTTCAGCTTGCACTTACTCCTTCTTACTGAAGAAAAGGCTTACTCAGTTTTGGTGCTGATACTGTTTCTCTTTGGTTAATTACAGTGTTCTCATTCTCTCCTTCTTCTGAACTGGGAAAAGTGTTTGTGAAGGTTTTTCCTAAGGTAGAGAACTAGGAAATGCTTTGCTGGGTCTAAGAAAAGAAAGCCCTAAAGGAGCTCTTGTGTTTTGGGGAAAAAAAGGAAACTTGTCTGAATATAATTAATGTCTTCTGTTGCCTTTCGAAGATTTCTCCACCACTTTTCTTAAAATAGTCTCCAAAAAGACAGAATTTGCTACAGATTGGCAGTTTTCAGAGTGCTTTTTTGGGCTGAGGAGTAGCTGTGAGTCCTGTAATTGCATTGCTCTATTGTCTGCAGACACTAGTTAGCACTGAGGAGGAATCTTCTATCGCTTTAACTGACTACCCTGTTACTACATATCATGCTTATGTTTTATCCTCTAAAACCCATAGTATTGGTCAAATAAAAAAAAAGACAAAATTTGTCCTCAAATATGTGATAAGGAAAAAGGAAAAAAAAATCCATGGTAACATTTCACATTCCCCGTTCTGGAATCTCTCAGATTACATTGTTATGAAATAATTTTTAACAGTCTCAACCCACTCAAGGCACTCTTACTTTTATTCTTGTACTTTGTATTATAATTAATCGTATACGTTTTATTGCCTCTCATCACCCATTTATTTATTCTAGGGAGCTGTGGGCCAGCCGGTCTTCTCCTTGGTCACTGGCTTCTGTTTTCTGTCATGTCCAGCTGGCCTGTCCCACTCTCCCGTCCCTCAGGAGCTTCAGTCCTTTTCTGACCACTCCTTTCATGAGTTATATATCAGGGCCCAGGTGTTGAGCTGAAGCATTCTGACCCCCGCAAAATGCTATTGCATCGTCCCCACATAGAAGCAACTATAGACACTGCAACACTTCGCCACACTCAGGGTGGTCCCATGACCACCTCAGCAGGGCTGAGAATTGATTGGAAATGCAGAATTCTGGGTGCCTACCCAGACCCAGCACCTGGGAATCTGCGTTCCTCCAAGATCCCCAGGTGAGAAGCACTGCTCTAATGGCCCAAAACCATGGCCCGGAGCAGTCACATGATCTGCCGTGACTTCAGTGGATCAGAGTAGACTTGTTTCTGTCATGGAGGAAGAGCAGAATTCACAGAAGAACAGCTCTTAGTATTCTGAGGATATTTTGCCTCTTCTTAAGCTCCAAGGCTCATTTTAACTGTATGTAACTCATGCACTAAGGCTAGCAGAAGAGAGCATGCACTGATGGCAAGTCAAGTACTGAAACAGTTTTAACCATTTTTTCCCCCCAAAGCATCCCTCATGGCTTTTCTCTTCACTCAATGTTTCCTGACCCCCAACTGTAGATCCTGGGGATCCATTTCTGTGGTGAACTCACAGCATTCATCATGGTTACTCATTAGGGATTTAATCACGGACCACCTTGACATTTGTAGGCCTTAGTCAAGAGCTGTGTTAACTCTTGGCATTTCTTAAAATATGTAACACTCCACTGTATATAAAATATGTACCCCACAAATAGTGAGATAATGTCAGGTTTCTTCGGAAGTGGTTCTACTCTTCAACATTTTTTAAAAAACCTTCTTACGTCTTGAGAAACTTACTTGGTTGACCCTCAGTGAGGACTNAAAAAAAAAAAAGAGAGAGAAATCTTTCCATTTAAACCTTTCATATTGCTTCCTATTGTATTAAATCTCAACTTATTTATCAGAATAATTTTAATGTCTTAATCAGACATTTGTTTACAACAGGAACCTACTTAACACAAAATGCATAATCATTTGGTTTCAGTTTTGCTCTTAAATTATGCTACCACTATGCAAGCCTGGACTCTTACTTTCTGTCAACCATAAAAACCTCATTATTCTGCCTTTGGACACCTCTCGCCCCTTACCTCTTCAATACACATACATGGCCATCAGTTCAATCTCCCCATGCATCATTTTGAATAGGTGGAAAGCCTCCCACAGATCTTTTTCATGAACCCTATGGAGTCTCATGGCTCTTGCATCCCCTTCAAGGTCAGAGACCGGGTCAGTATCCCTGGCCCCTAGGCACACAGATGAGACTGATTTGATGACCACATACATGGATGAAGTCAGCTCTCTCCCCGACCTCCCACTCTACCCTTGTTCATGCCTCAGGCCTTGGTTCTACTTCAAAAGGCTTCCTTACACATCCTCCTGCTTTCCGATTTTCTAAACTGTGACTGTTCTGCTCCCATGTTGTTCCATTCCCTCCCCGTGCCCTGCAACACCTGCACCCTTCTGAAAGAATGTCTTGCCTCCCTGGTCTTTGTCATCCCAGTCAGATTTCCCTGCTCTTCCTCTCTCACAGGGCTGGCTTCCTCTCAGGTGGCCTTGGTCACCAAGCTACATGGGGCTGTGTATGTGTGTTTTAACTCCCTTACTGGAATGAGAAGTCTCTGAGGGAGAACCTTCTGTCTGATGCTCCCCTGGCACTTGGCACTGGCATGTATCCTCACTAAAAGATTGTCGCATTTGGGATTTATTACTTTTAAAGGCCAGGGCAACTGCTTATACATCCAAGACAGGGATGACAAGCTGTATGTACATATGTCTTTTTTTTCCTTCCTAGACTGCTTACCTTTTCACTACCAGCTGTGTTGTCAATGGCTGCATTATTTATAGTCACGTGCAGTATTGTTTTAGAGAACCGTGGGCTTTTGGGAAATTTCAGACCATCTGATTGCTCTTTGTTGCTCTGTACAGTAGAGGTTTCCTGTGCCTTCAGGCTTTGGTTTCTGTGAATCTGGGGGAGCTACAGTCTGTGGGTGTCAAGAACTGTTTTTCCATCCATCACAGGCCGCCTTTGATTCATTTATCTTCCTGCGTGTATCTCTTTGTCAGGGGCCCAATGTGTTATGACAGGAGAGGCCAGAAAAAGTCATACAGTAAATCATACCATCTGACTGTGGGCAAATTTTTGCCACTCCTGTCTTTCATTTTTATGAATCAATCATAGGTTATCTTCCATTGTTGGGATGGTTGGGGATGGGGCCTTGGTGCAGGGGAGACCTACCGGGGGGGGAAAGCATTCCAGATTGCAGAGGTGACTCCTGGGCACTGGGTGAGTCCTTTGGAAAGCCCTGTTAAAACATCAGGAGGTTCATATATGAAGGCTTTCTTCTGTAGGTGCTTAACAGGAACAGGTCTCCAAGGAAGATCTTGAAGATGGTGATCCCCCTGCTCTACCAGAATCTCCATCAGCTTCCTGCAGAGCCACCCTGTGCAAGCCTACAGCCTGGGCACCAGTGGTCGGGCAGCCTGCCTCCTGTGTCCACACAGCTTCCAGACATTCTTCCGCCTTCCTTCCAGCTGGATGATCACCCAGGCAACCCCTTCTCTAGGGAACTTCTAGAGCTCCTGCTGACTTCATAGCATTACTTTGACATGGACTACCAATGCCTGACCTGCTCTGTCTAGGGGAACAGGGAGATAAAGTAAGAATTCCATGTTTTAATATTCTATGGCACTTATTGGAAATAGTTGAAATGGCATACTTTTAACTTGCTGTGCCATTGTTTAGTTTTCAAAACTGCTGAAAACATTTATCTTCCCAGAGTTTGATGATCATGTTGGTGAGGATGTTTGTAGCCTTTGTATAACCACTTACATCTATTCAGCACCATGCAAAGCATTTTGCCAAACTCAGAGGGTTTCCTGTTACCAGATCATTAATGAGATGCTTTTGGTGTCTTTAGAGCACAGAAAGGAATCTGGTTTTGGAACAGGTCTGTGTTGACTTATTGAATAACTGTTGGAGCTACGATGAACTCTGCTCCAAGCTTTGCTACCATCAAAGTATGGCTTCTTTTATAGAAAAGCAGTGGATGAAATGTTAGATGCCTCTGATATTCATGTTCTGTGCTCCAAACAGTTCTTCTCTTCATATCTTTATTCAGACATTCATCTTTAAGTTCTGGGAAAGGAAGCCCCAAACAATACTTGACCTCTAATACAATGTGCTGTTTTGATTATGGTCAGTACTTTAGTACAATTTATGTTAAAGAGAGTCTCTGGAATGACCCCTGAAGTTCCTGAGAAAGCCTGATTGATCCAGCATCATTTCTCTTAATCTAAGTCTTCCCATGTTACACAAGGTGACTATGGATGGAGGCTGACCTGGCTCTTGTGCTCGCCAAATTGAAGTGTCTTGAAGTTACAAGAAAATGAAGGGATCAGAGTAGATAATTGATGAGTGTGCTCATTGAAAGCAGCCACTTTATCAGAAGTGAACAGAGCTGAAGTGCAAGGCTCTGATTTTAGTGAACATTTCTGCCCACTGCCCTCTCTGGGGCATATGTCTCGGGAACATAAAAAATGTCTCTTGTTGTTAAAATAGCTGTTAAGTAAATTTTAAGAGCACATCAAACATCTTAAAAAGACTCATTTGCCTACTTGTCCAGGCAGATTAAAAACAGTTTTCTGTTCAGAAAAACACAAAAGACAAGTGATTTGAGTAACATCACTATCATTGAGACTTAAGAGGGAGAAAGATCACTGATGGAAAAAAGTCGAGTCTAGCAACTTTGAAGAAGACATATTGACCATGCCTGCTTGTAATAACTTTTCAATAACCCCTTATGTTAACAGAGTGGTGGTTTTGTCCAGTCTTCCCGGAGGTCAAGCTGTATGAGTTCCTTTTCTTTTTCCCCTTTTCTTGCAGGGACAGTTTCTCTTTTAAATACCATGTGGTCTGTCTTCTCCAGGGTTATGTCACCACTGTCAGTCAACAAACCCCGCATTCCTGTAGCTTTGCTCTTCCAAGAGTTTGGAAGTGCTTAGTATAGGCAGGAATATGGGCATCTTTACAAAGGAAGGGCACTTCTTCATTATATAGACCAAGAGGTCGAGTATTGTTTTGGGCTTCCTCTCCCAGAACTACTTAATGATGAATGTGTGAATAAAGATATCAAGAAAAACAAAATCATTTTGACTTGCAGAACACAAGTACCACACACATCTAATATTTAGTCCAATTACTTTTATGTGAAAGAAGTTACACACCTACTTATAGATGGTGACCTTTTCAAAGGGTATGGTACAGAATAACCCCATTAGCAGACCCTGCATTCAGTTTTGTTTTTTTAACCCCTGCTTTTCTGCAACTTGCTCTATATAAGTGTTTTTTCCCCACAATGTAAAAAGAGAATTTGAGTCACGATGTCGTTTTACTGAATTTTGGTTAAAGAAGCACATTAAATCATCCCCTACACTATACTATGCACTTCTTCCCCTTTTTTCCCACCAATACTCATCAAGGTGATTTTTCCAGTGGACTTGAGACTGAAGATCATTCTGATCCTTTCTCCCAGTGAAAAAATCCTAGAAAAGATGAGCTTCTTAAAACAAGACTGGGTTCATCAATTTATATTGTAATTGGAGAGATTTTCTTCAAATCATAATGGATTTCTGTGCTACCTTTTTAGACATGTCCTTTTTAAAAGGGATTCCGTAATAAATCTGGAATAATGCCTTGTATATAATCCTTTAAAAAAATAGAATCTTTACATACTTACCCTGTTAAAGTGAACTAGAAAGAAAAATACTCCAATTTTGAGCATTTCAGAAATGGAGCTTCTTCAAATCTGGTATCCGCATGGTCTCATTATATATTTGTGTCAATGGAATAAAAAAGAAAAATATCTCAGGGCCTAGGAAGGAAAAGTAAATTGCAGGAATATATTGACTTAAAAGTGATCCTTTTGTTTTGTATCGACTTAGCTTTGTGATTTTTCTGGAGGAAAAGCTTGTCCACACTCTTAATTCTGATCTAAGGGACTATTTATCTTATTAACTTCTTTGCCAGTTTTGTCTAAAGGGAGATACACTTTCTCACGTTGGTCTCCTTGAACTCACTATTCATTTTTGCCTTATGAGGTCAAAACACTTTAGAAATCAGCTTTCTCAGGAAACCTGCCGCTCAGATCTTTCAAACAAATCTTCCTTTAAGCTCATTGTCTCCTGGGTGATTGGCAAAGGATTTCCACCCTTTAAAAAGATAGGTATTTGTAAAGTCTGTTCTTACACAGTAATCTAAAAATGGTCTTCCAGGAAGAATTTGTACAATAGAAACCAAATGCCTTGGGGCCATTATGTTTATGATCCTGCCTTGTCCCAAAACATTATTAGAGTTTGAGTCACATAAGCAAATTGTTTGGGTTAGACCTGACCCTACCTGTATACATTTATAGTAAAGTTCCATTGGAAGACAGTTTGTGCCTTTCCTAGAGTTGAGAAATATGACTTGGGGGCCTGTCTACCTCTATCCGGTAATGCCATGTCCCTTTTCTCTAACCCACAAGTTTATTTCTATTGAGTTCTACATATAGAATAAAGCCTTTTCTGAACCATACTTATTTTTTCAATTCTGGCTGCACATCACTATCATCCAGAGGGCTTTGAAAACAATCCTAATGCCTGAGCCAAACCCCTAAAAGTTCTGATTCATATTCAGTACTGTTTTAGAAGATCCCCAGGTAATTCTGATGTGGAACCCAGGTTGAGAAACACTGATACAGCCTAACCCAGATAGGTTACAAATGACCAGAGAGATCAAGGCACTTATTTGATGTCTTGCAGCAAAGAAGTACCATTTATTGAGTTCAAAGTCTCCCATCTCTGACTTGAAATCCAGTGTAACAAATAGGAGCAAGGTTTTGTGGTAGAGCTACGGGAGAATCAAAATCCCTTTACTTCTGGAAAGTCGTCTGCAAAGTGGGATAAATTCAGGCCCCTCTGAAAGCCTACCTCTCAGTTAAGGTCGTTAAAAATCAAGGCCAAAGGGTCAGAGCACTGTGGGTTGGGCAGAGATGGGTGGTAAGGATGACTTTCCAAAGGAGAAGACAGAAAGGCTATGTCCGACGCAGGGGTGCCGTGGCCCCCTTCAGCAGTTAGACTTCTGTACTTGCTCCTGGGAGCCTGAGGGGAGGGGGAAGATGCCCACCTAGGATAACTGCCCTGCTGACCATGCAGAGGCCTGTCTGGCCTCCACCTCTCTCAAGCCACAGCCGAAGGGGCTGTCAGCACACCAACATCCGGGGGCCTCCTTGGACAGAGTTGGACACTAGGTGTGGAGGGAAGGCCATTCTGGGTCCCCTTTCCCAGCTGCAGCGCACCTCGCAGTTGCGGCCTGGCCAGGCCACCTTGGGGATGGCCCCTTGGCCTTTCTGGTGGGAAGGTGGAATGCTGGGGGTCAGGAAGGCAGAAGGAGTTCACATATCAAAAGATTATCGATAAGGGGCTTGTTCCCGAGAAAGGTAGTCAGATTATGGGGACTTTCAATGCCAGGCCAGGGAGGACTGCTTAATTGTCTGAGACACCAACAAATTCTAAGTAGGGGCATGACAGAAGGAAACCATTCAACCGTCACAACCTCTCTGTGAGTCAGGGCAGCTCCTGGGCCTTTCTTGGTTCCGATCTATGTTGGGGCTTCACTTCCATCAGCAGCACGCTCAGCACCTCCTGATTTTTAAAAATGATAGTTGCTTTCTTATACCTCAGACGACCTATGGGGAAGCTCTCCAGAGTCCCAGAATGTTTAGTGTCCCCTTTTTCCTGAGGTGCTGTCTAGACCTCACTCCGCTCAAAGAAGTTGGCTGACTCCTCTGAAACAAGGTGTGAAAAAGGCAAACGAAAGCACATTTATTAATTCCAAGAGAGTGCTTTCTTTTGCCGGGCCGCCCTCGTAGGTGTTTTCCCAACATGCTCACACCTCTAGTATCTCAAATATACACTGCAGACTTTTAGGAATCGGAAGAATTTAGAGTTTGTATTGGGTGGACCTGCAACAGAATACTTTTATTATATCTAAGGCCATTTTAATGGACTTGGAATTAGGGAGGTGGAGGTTGATTGGACAACATATCTAGCCATTCCAAGGAATTTACTAGAATGGAGAAGAATGCCAATATCCCAGACATGTGATATTTAGGGAGCTTTTTACTGCGCAATCACCAGGACGACCTCGGGACAAATTGTAGAGCCCTCCTTGGGAGCAGCCCCTGTCAGTAGGACTTCCGGCAACGGTGACAGTATCTTCTATCTGTGCCTTCCAATGTGGTAACTATTAGCCCATGTGGCTTGAAATGTGGCAGGTGAAACTAAGGAAACAAATTTTAAATATTACTTCATTTCAATTAACTTAAACATAAATGCCCATATATGCCTATTGACCACCATCATGGACAGAGCAATGATAGTGTCCTTAAAGACCCATTCTCCTCAAGTTCCCCCCAAGGGCACAATCAGGTCGTTTCTCAGCCCCTGTAACCCTAGGGGACAGACAAAATAATGTGTGCTCTTCCATTCCTGCACTATAGAATTATAGATGCTTTCTGTGTTGGATGCATGACATTCTACAGTTTATGGAAATACTCTTTAGTAATATACTCCAATTATGGTACTCTATTGTAGGAGGATCCATTCAGGCTTCTTTTAT